ATTACGCTGTACTTTCGGGTTGCTCTCAGGGGTCGGATAAAGCGGGTGTGGGGCCGAAGGAAATGTATATTATATTTCAGAAATCTGCCTAACGCTTAGCCCGATCCTGTCGTGTCAAGTTACACCCAAAATTCCAAACACACGTACTTTGATTAAGGCTTGATTAAGGTTTGCAGAGCTTCAGCATTTACCATAAAATAGCGTGCAATTTGTTGCAAAAGCATATAAATTATATATCACTATAATCACAAAACTTCAATCTATTTACGTATTGTAACGGAATTTTAAATTATGTCTTTATTTTCGCGAAAATTTAGTCCTAGTAAACATAAAGAATATTTTGTTGATGTTTGACCATCAAAATCTTAAAAATAAAGTTGTCTAAAAATGTGCTACAATACGGATATAGTATAATCCTTTATCTTTAATTTCCTTCCTCAACGCTTATTTTGCTACTTTATCGGACTGGCGAAATTTTCTTAATGTGTAAAATTCACAAAAACGCGATTTTAAATAATCAATAATAATCATTTCGACATTTATTATAAAGGCAGAGTTATGTAAAATCATCAGGGCCTATTTTTAGCGCGTGAAAAAGATTTTTAAAACTAGGTGAAAATTATAAAACGAAATATATGATTATTAAGCGACTCAATTTTCTAGCGATAAGGCCCGTGTTTGATTGTTTGATGCATATTTATGATGTTTGACACAATTCAAACACTTAATCTACCGTTTTGTGTACACAGAACCGCAGTTTTTTAGGTCACCGCGCCGGAGAAAAAATCGGTGGCGAGATAATTTCGTTTATTAGGCGATTCTTGGCATAATTAAGCATGCCATCAGAAAAATAAGTAATCATAGATACATTCTAGCATATTTTTTAGCATATTTTTATTTCTCTCCATGCCAACTTAATTCTTCTGTTGATTTCTGGTAGTAGAGATCCCGTGAAGTGTATTAGTTGTCCCAAATATATGTATTCTTCTACTATGTCCAGTGTTGTGCTATTTATTAGACTGCCTTTTCTGTTTACTAGTGCGTTGTTCATTACTTTAGTTTTTAACATTTATATGATCTTTTTTACTTATTTTTATCTGCAGAATATGCCGCCGCAGTCGCTGGCAGTCGTTGGCATCAGTCGACTATAATAATATGGCAGACATAGGCAGTCATCCCTCGTTTAGAGCCTTAGATTGATAATTTGATAAACCAAAAAGAGTTCGTTTGGAAGCGTTGCTTGACCTTTATTTCTATCTGCACCCTCAAAAAATATTTGACTCTGGATTGGACCATGCGCTGCCATTCGAACTACGTTGACATGCCTTTTAAATTCTTTTTCTATTGACACTTTTGCTGTTTACTGTATATTTAATGTTGTTTTATTATGTCATCGCGTTGGATGTCAATAAAATTGTCAAAACAACTTTATTTCAAATTAATGCGGGTATCTCTTGGACGCTAATGGCCCTAATTCGAGATGTTTAGCAAGAAGAAGAAAAACAAACACATGACATAATACCGAGCCATTCTATTTGCAAAATAAAGACACAAACTATCCGCTTTAAACGGCTCTAATTTTCTAATTGCGGCAATGTAAATAACTTTGTATCTGCGCCTATATTTATATCTATGCATATGTTGTAGAAGGATGTCCAAATTGGTTTATGTGCGAATATACTATAGACATTTTAGGCCCACGTTCACACAGAAAGTGAATAAAGCGTTTAATGCGTCCTTTTTATATTAAAAAGACAAATGTTGCTCCGATGATTTCGAGATTGTAACCCCGGAAGTGATGGGGAATTTTGTGAACGATTTTTACCAAGAGATATTTCACGGAAATGTATATTTTTTATTCAGTCGTTTTTTTTATAGAAGTACGGACGAAAAGTTATTAGGTACTCTCCAAAACAGTTAAAACACATGTAGGTGGCGCCACCTACAAATAGGAGTCATATTGACATCAAAATCAAATTTCTCATGTCAAGAAACACTCCCAGACACCAATTTTCATCCAAATATTGACGTTAATTCAGAAATTATTTGGAAAAAATCGAAATAGAAATAAAACTTCTACACCCTGTATCTCCGAAACTAAGCATTTTAGGACGTACATTTATATGAACTTTTTTACTTATTTTTATCTGCAGAATATGCTGCTGAAGTTTCCGGATTACAGTTCGGACCACCCTGTATATTATTTTTTAATGTACCGTACGCTATTTTTTTTTCTTTATATAATTTTTTACCCCTTTGTATGGGCACCTACAAAACTGTCGTTGTTAAAACAACGTAAGGAACTCAACTGGAGTAACCTCCCCCTACTGTGGAGCTGGGTAGTGGATGAACTACTAGACAAATTAACTCTATCGGGAATACACTGCACAGGGTATGCAGATGACATAGTCATGACAGCTCGAGGGAAACATGAAGGCACCCTATGTAATATTATCCAAGGAGGGCTCCGTATCACTGAGAGATGGTGTAGGACTGTCGTGCTGACCACCAACTCAGGCAAAACGCGGTAGTGCCATTCACCAGAAAGCAAAGTCTGAAAAGCTTGAAAAGAATCCATCTAGATAGAAAGAAAATACTGCCATCACAGGAAGTCAAATATCTGAGAATAACCCTGGACGGTAAACTTCTCTGGAACAGACACATTAAGAACATTACGAGCAAAGCCACAAAGGCTCTCGTGATATGCAGAAGACTGGCGGGAAATAGATGGGGCTGCGCCGCCAATATTTTGCGCTGAATATGTACCATGATAGTAAGACCCTAAGGTAAGACCCATGATTACTTATGGAGCAGTTCTCCGTCCCACCAGTAAAACAACACTTTTATAACACTTTTATATAACACTTTTTTCTTTTAGCATCTAATTTTCACAATACAATAGGTCCTCACGACGCGACGCTCGAGTAAATCTCCATTTAGCATCATAGGCTCCCTACTAAAAAGTGACTTGTTGCACAAATGTAACAATTTATTACATTTTTATTTTTAGTGTCATACTTTTAAAGGATGATTTATAAAATGATCTTTATAAAGGAGGATCTCTATAAAATTACACAAATTTCAGATGGCTTATTTTTGCATTTTTTTTATCAAATTTGTATTATTTTTGTATTATTCTCAGTAAAATGGAACAATTGCCAGTTGCTTTTATATGTTTGTTATGTATTTGGCATTTTCTAGGTATTAATATGAAATACCAACGAAGTAAAAAATAAAAATCTAAGTTCCTATAAAATTCTATATCGAGATAATGAAATGGAAGATATACGAGGACTCAAAACTATCTATTCGAGTTACACGTTCTTTCATAGGCGGTTTTGGAATATTATATTCCTAGGAAACAATATACATATAGCGTGGCGTGTGACTAGTATTTACGCTGGTAATGAAGATAGACATTGATTGACAATGCGTCAGTTCGCGGACTTATATGTAAATCTACACGTATATTTATTTTCTTGCAGGGCTTTGCCTCATTATATCCGATTTATTTAGAAAAAATACTGGAGTCAGTGTATACCGGGTGCGTCTCGAAAGTGGCTTACCCCTATAACTTTTTATTTTTTCAGATAAAAACACGAGATTTGGTATGTTAGTATTTGACATAAATTATGATTGATTGACGTATTCAATTGTTTTTGGTCACTTCCTGTTTCACCGGAAATCCTGAGATGGGACAAATACTTTTTTATTTTTAAAGCTTATACAGGCTGTCTAAAAATATTCTAAATAATTACTAGCTTTATTAATAACTTGTTTAATGTAAACGGAACACCCTGTGTATTTTATGTGCATCAGATAATAATACAGTTGGTTCAATCTTAAAGTTGATTCTGACTATACATTCCCTTTCCGTTCCATTCCTTTCCGAATTCTACATAAACTGCATTATTTTTTGAGAATTTTATAAGGAACACAAAAATGGTAACAGAAATAGGGGTTGCCATTTAAAATTTTACGGGTAGGTGCCCTGGGGGTCAAAGGGTTGAAAGTAACACGACAACAAATGCCTCAAAAATTGTCCCCCTTGATATGTAAATTGACGTATTTCGCCAAATTTTCATACTATCATCGGTCGAGGCAGTATTAAATACTGTCCGTTTTCAAATTGTCACCCTGTATGTCATTAACATGATATCATATTTTACGTTATATTTTTAAGGAAATTGTGAGTTTTTATGAACTATATTTTGAATGTATCTAAATTTGTTAAAAAAACTAATAGAACTAATACGAAGAATATAAGAGATGTGACAGTTCTGCAATAACAATCTAACCGTTGCAATTTTAATCTTTATGCAACTGCAACAAACCATTTTCTATTAATCTAAAACCGTTGATAGGAAGATTAATGTTCGGGCAACGTCACTTATATTAACTCTAACCGTTCGACTCAATTAAAATCACTTAACAGAAAGACTTTTGTGTGATAAAATTCGTGATAAATTTACTATTAGAGGATAGAGTATGCAGGGCAAACCAATTAAAATAAAATGATGTATGGGGATTCTGTTATACGAAGTTTCAAACTCAATTAGTTATTATAACGTTCTTTTTATATAAACCATAAAAATGTAAATTGAATAATGCTAAGAATAAAAAGAATATTTAGAATTGTTTTGATTATTTCTTTACTCTATCCAAAATATAACTTAATTTTTACACACAAAGCTAAACAACCGCTGCACAGTGGATCGAGGTATACGAAAATATGGACATTTGCTTTTGTTTTAGATTGATTGGGTTAGTTGTATTTAAAAAATAGAGATGTATCATTTTAAATATTGCGAATTTGACGATGGCATAAAAAATACCCTGTGTAAGATAACGTAAATTTTCTTTGAAGGAGCTGTTGTTCTTGGTATTTAGAAAAATCTACGCGTCTTAGTCTTGGACTTGAATTGGCTCATTACTAATATACAATTCTAAAAATTGTTGTCATCAATAATAGTCTTCTAACGGTTCATTTTTGGTTTCAGGTTCGAGTGAAGATGCCCGCCATCGGGCAGACAAAGACGATATGGTTCATTTTTATTTATTTAGTTAGTTTAAGTGTGGTGGATGCCAGCAATAGATACAGCAGGAATTTTAGGGAACAAGAGGAAAGTAGTAATGGAAGTGGCCACTCCGCTGGTTCCTTATCACCAGGAGGGTGAGTCATAAAGAATAATAAATATTAAATGAAATATATTGCTTATAACCAATTTTTGATCATTTAATTATACAAAAAAGATTTAATAAGTGATATACAAAATAGAACACCTACTGCTTTATCATAAATCACTGTGGAATATCATAAAATCACTCTGTATATCTTTATTCTTTAAAGTAAAAGTTTCAAGAAATTTAAATCGGAAGAATATGAATAACTTTTACGGGATATCCCTCTATTTTTGTTTAGAACAGAAAAACATACTACCAGCATGATGTGGCATGTTTTAATTATTCCCTAATGACTTGAAGTAGTCATTATATGGACAGTGCCACTGTACTTATCTTCGTTTAATTGAAGAGAGTTAAAAATAAAATTTCTAAAAATTAAAAATATTTTTTAGTGCTTAATATACCGGTCTGGTCATCGAAACTGCGTGAAAAACGTGTAAAACCCGAATTTTAACGTGTAAGACAGTGAGGTAGACAGCTTAATGTAAAATCAAATATATGAAAAAGAGATAAAAGTTGGCTTGGTGCATTTCTTCTACAGTATGTCCCCGGATTGTCTTTACAAGAGGAAAAACTTCTTTATTATTGACATTTTGAGAAAAATGCTTTCTTCGTGAAAATTTTTGCTCGTTCTTAAATGGTTAATCCCATTTTTCTGTTCTGTTTTAGAGAAAATTAGGAAAAACATGAAAATATGGATGAATTTCTTTATGAATGAAAAATGATGAAAATCAAAACGCGTTTCTATGGTAATAGAACTTCGTTTTCATTCTGTGATAGATTGTTATTCGTAGAATTTTAATTAATGTAATGTTTTTTGTTATAATATGTTAAAGACGCACAAAATTTATTTAGTTCACTTCTATGGAAAGGGTGGTAATGGTTATCGGAAGATATGATACTTTAACAACAGCAAAGACTATGACATTAAATTAATAATAACTATCTATCAAAGAATGAAATTGAATTGATATTACCATAGAAACGCGTTTTTATTTTTAGGAAACTTCAATCATATTTTCATTTTTTTCTGAAACGCTATAGCAATTTTGGAAAGTATAAACGGGATTAACCATTTAAGAACGAGCAAAAATTTTTATAAGAAAGCATTTTTCTCAAAATGTCAATAATAAAAAAGTTTTTCCTCTTGTAAAGACAATCCGGGGACATACTGTATACGGTATTGCCGGATTTTCCATCAAAATTTCAAATCGTACAAGTAAGCGTATACGAAAAATATTTATCTAATATCATCTAGGGCTGGAACTTTATTTTTCACAATTGGTTACTTATTTTACAACAGCTCTATGTTGACGCTTCCACTGTGTGGTCAGCCTAAGGGCCTTTATTCTTTTTCAATGCGGCGTTAATTTTAATTCATTCATTCGTGTGTGACCGAATTGGGCACAGAACAACTGAAAATATGTTAAAACAATTAGTACGAGTTACGCAACCTTGATCGTAGGATTTCGCACGGAGATATCAACCAAATAGTTTCGAAGTTCCTGTTACAGAAAAAGCGCGTCAGCTCGCGTGGGCTTTCTAGAACAAGATAAACTTTTTGTTTTCCTTTGTTGTTCTTCATTACGAGCACGCTTTCGATATTATGTGTTATAAAAAAAATTCAATACCATTTGTGTCTTTTTTTTCGTTACCTAGTTTTAAAATTTAAACTCTAGAGATGTTAAGTGAGCGTAACTAATACATTAGTCAATATTATACTAAATAAAAAACATTATAGCAACTTCAAAAGGAAAAAGATTTGGAAGAGTTTGATATTAGTAGATAGTTGAATGCCAGAAAGTATCCAAAAATTTTTGACCGTAACAAAAAATTATGTTTTAATTTTGTTCCTGAAGTACCGGAAATGTAAGTGCCGAATCCCGGTTCTGAGCCCTAATAGTTACTATGTTAGTATCTATTTGGTGAAGAGTGAAAGATAACATGGTAATCTGAATATTCAATTTACTTTTTTGCATCAAAATATAAACTGAGAAGCAGTAAGAAAAAATCTAATTTAGTAATTTTATTTTTGACTCTCTCCAATTAAATGAAGATAAGTACAGGGTGTCTGTCCCTTTTTTGGTTGAAATCATTCGGTATCTCCGTTATTAGTGAAGTCAGAAGGGTGCAGTTTGCACAAACCTGTCCCACTTTTTTGTCAAACGGAAGATGCCGTAAACAAAGTTTTCATAGCCCTCTTTGTTTCTGAGCTACAGTCTTTTTGAAATTTTTGCAAAATGGGACACCCCCTATGTTTCTGTTATTATTATAGGCATCGAGAAGATGAAAACTGTTTATTATAGAACTTTTTACGTAGAATATAGTGGCGTAGTCTGTTATTCTACGAAAATAATATTTTTAAAGATATGGATTAAAGTTGTGTTTTCTAAAATGGAACACCCTGTATATTTATAAATTATATGATCTGGCTTCTCAAAAATATATATCACTTTATATTTATTTTCACTAGTTATTGCAATATTTAAAAGTTTTTATTAAGAGAACATATTTATTAGTAGGCCATGATTATGATAAAAGAAACTAAAAAATTATTAAAAATATACTGTTATCTGTCTCTTATTTTATTTTGGTAGCCACTAATAAATTCTGTATATATAGGGAAACTTAACTCTCTACCGTTATTGAAAATCTTGGAAGCTATCATACCGGAACTTTTAGATATTCCTTTGGCTAATTTACGTGAAATATACTTTCAGCAAGATGGGGCTCCCACTCACAACTTTGAAAATATTAGAATTTTGTTAAATTATTATTTCTCAAATCAATGAATTGGAACCAATGGACCCATATGATGGCCTCCCGGATTCCCGGATTCCCGGATTTGACCGTTCTCGATTTCTAATTTTGGGGATTTTTGAAATATATAATATATCGTGGCAACTACAACAATGCCGAACACCTGAAAATGCTTTAATAATGCAAGCTTTTAGATATTTATTCAGAAAGAGAAAAATATATTAATTAATAAGAAAAATATATTCAGAGATTCAGTATTCAGTGGTAACAAAAGTAAAATAAATCAATCCCAAATAAAATTTTAACGTAAAAAGTTCTACAAGAATCAGTTTTCACCTTCTCGATATCATCCACAATAACGGAGATACGGGGACTGTCCCAAATTGCAAAATTTTCGAAATGACCCTGTAGCTCAGAAAGGAAGAGGGCTATGAACATTCTGTTTACAGCATCTTTCGTTTGATAAAAATGTGGGACAGGATTGTACAAACCGCATCCTATTATCTTTACTAATAACGGAGATACCGCATGATTTCAACTAAAATGGGACACCCTGTACAGTGGCACTATATCCATATAATGACTACTTCACCTCAATAAAATAATTAAAACATACTACATAATGCTGGTAGTAGATATATTTATCTATTTTAAAATTATTTTAATAATTTTAATGCATACTTTTTTGTTTACTTACCTTAATCTGACGCGCTAAAATTTTTCTAACGATCAATTTTTTTACTTGGCCTGTCCTACACGCACAATCCTATATGAAAGTTCCATGTATAGTGGGGGTACTGAACATGATCTACAGCTGGTTCCAAAAAAAAATAAATACGACTCTTTACACATTTTTTTCGAACATTTGGGCAGTGTATATCTATGTGTCAAGTATTTTGACAGTTTAAGGTTATTGTGACATTGTATAAATCAACTTTGCTTTTTAACAAAGTGGCAGATAAATTTTTCAGAACGTCAGCATGACATGAGTAGAGAAATGGGGGACTGGTATCATAGAATATACTGCCCGAAATAATAAAAATATGTTCTAAATCGTATTCAATTTTATTGGAACCAGCTGTAAGTTTCTCCCCTTATGTTATTCTGTATCTCCTCTTATGTAAAATCCTCGCTTGAGCTCTCCTACTATATATTTTTTTAAATATCATATTTACTTTTTAATTAATGCGATATTTGTAAACAAAATAATATACAATTGAAGAAAAGTTTGAATTGTTCTCTGGAGATTTTTCTTAATTTTTCGATAGTAATGAAACCACTTTCGTTATTTAATAATACAATTTCCCTAAATTAAAAATGCTTCAATATTCATAAAGGATTATTAACAACAAAACCAAATAATCCAAAACATAAACGACGGTAACAGACGTCACGATGAAAAGCATACATTACATCTTAGAATTGTTAATGAGATGATATCTACATTGTGACAACATGAGCTCGCAGGTGTAAACTGTTCGATTAGAGACAAGGGCGCCATTCAGCGGCAACAAATCAACACTAAACGGCTGACATTGTCATGCAAATAATCCGATATAACCTATACGAACACGTTAATTTGCAAAAAAGAAGATTATGGGATTATTTGAAAAACGTAGCCAATCTTATATGGAAAATATTTTTAACAGAAATTTAAGAATCAATTTTAGAAAAATTTACTAGATTTTTTGATATTCTGTACTGTAAAAACAAACTATTTGATCTAAATAACTATTCCTGTGCAAATACGCGTTCTAATGGAACTGTAATTTCATGGGCTTTATTTTTCAATGTAGATATTTTCACTAAACACATTGAATTTTAACAAGAGACGTGACAATCTGAAGATCGATCAATAAAAATCAAGGAAAATTTTTGATTTTTCTCTGTTGTAAATTCTGAGAATTTTCTTCGAGTGTCTTAGACCGTTCGAGGATTTTCATTCCAGGTTATGAATAGAGTTTTCCAGTTTCGTTTTAAGCAAGTTCGTTTAAGCGAGTTCCGCTTTAAGCTGGTTTCCGCTTGGGAAGCAGAACGGTTCTGGTCCAGTTAGTAGACTGTTCGCTCCTTTTCTAGCTAAATCATTTACTTTTTCATTGCCTTCTATCCATTGGTGACATGGTATCCAAAGTAGAAGGACTTTATTTCCTTCCCTAATTTGTTAAGCTTCTCTGCTCATTCTTTGATCAACTTTGAAATTAGGGTTACTGAGTTGATCGCTTTTAATGC